AAACAGAGAGATTGATATCTGCCTGCCGTATTACATAAACCATTAAATCGGTCCTTTACAGTACCCTGCTGGGTCCTCAAACAGCATCCCAAGATTCGGGGGCCTTAAATGCAGCAGCGCAGGCTGACCATTGCCAGGACGGAAAGTGCTCGTTCTAAGGCTGATTTAAGGTAACAACTTTTCATGGACCTCAGGATCGCAATAAAACAGGACATTGGAGATGGGCGTTTACGGAGCGCACGGTGTATAAACTCATATAAACAGAAGCCCTTTTCTGTTTAAATGGCCCTCAGTTTTTACGAAGACATGCGCGTTAAATCTGTTACGTTTGGCCTCACGGACGATGGAGAAAATCTGGAGCGCTGAGGTTAGTTGGAGGCTTTTCCATCATCGGCATATTCAGTCCTCACCATCTCATACTGGTAGCAGAAAACTACATGTACTGTAAACTACATGAAATGTGTGTTCACAGCCATATTTCACGCCCACACACACACACACACACACAGGTTTGTAATTATATCTTTGTGGGGACTCTCCATTCATTTCTATGGGGAAAACTTTAATCTCAATATAACGACCTTAACCCCTATACCCAGCCCTATCCTTAACCATATATAAGTAACCAAACAAAATATGCGACTTTCGGCATTTTTAGTTTTCTGATTGCAGTCACAAACTGAAAAATGGTCCCCAAAACGTCAAAATGACAGGTTTTTATTAAATTGTGGGGAACATAATCTATACACACACACACACACACACAATAATAATAATAATAATTTATGGTAACGCTTTACATTAACTGCACCTTCATTATGGCTTTATTATGCATTCATAGAACCTTCAGTGCACATTCATAATGCATTCATAGAACATTCATAAGCAGCATGTAAGCAGCTGTACCTTCACATCCTAACATACCTTAACAGCTTTAATATACATTAATAACAAAATAACATACATTATATTTTTTAAATAAATATTATAATCGTAAAATATTTGTTATTAATCAGGAGAGTCACTAGTGATATATGAAAGGGGAGTGAAACCTTTATTGGGGGAGTCTGATGGAAATAGGGCACATTATTTAAACTAAATACTGTACATTTATTTGGGGGTGGCACGTAACAGGGGCTTAAAAACATTTTAGGGTGGCTAGAGCCCCCCTAAAATAAGCCTAACAACGCCCCTGTTATTAATGTATATTAAAGCTGTTAATGTATGTTAGGGTGCTAAGGCAGGCCTATACTCACATGCTGCATATGAATGTTCCATGATTGCATTAGGAATGTGCAGTTAATGCAAAGTGCTACCAAACTGGATAAAGTTTATCTGTAGGGTTTGGAAACTCAAGAAAACAATATTTTAAAGATGCAGTTGAGTTCTCTGTGCTTGGTGACAGGAATGCAGGTACTGGCATTGCAGGGTATCTGTTGACATTCAGAAAAATATCACAAGAGTGAGACAAGAGCAACATATCACGGCTCTGTGGACATCGAGACAGCCGCTGGAACAAATTCACTGTTTAGAATTTCATTCACATGGCAAACTTGACAGTCAGATACAGGATGTCAGTGGAGACGGCCTTCTCATAGACCATGAAGGCTGCTTGAATATTATTCCAACTTCCTGAAATGCAGCCGTATTAATCAAAACGGCTCTTCATATTTTCCTTCGGGATAATATTTTCTTCCTTCTGCAGCTGGTTCATTAGACCATCTCTTCCCACATATAAATAAGCAGACACGGAAACTCTGGACACGTACATGTAAACATGCAAAATTATTCTAGAAACATTCTTAGACTTAACAAAGAAAATATCAAAACAGAAATTTAACTGAACAAAATGAAGGATGAAAGTTGGACGTGCGAGAAAACATTCAATTCGACGATTCTCTCAGGCTTAGAAAAATTGTGCCAAAGCGAAATAAATTAATGTCTAGTTGCGTGCACCGAGCTGCCGTTTTATGAAAGCTTTAAGGTTTTCAAGTGAAACCGTCATTCTTTCCTAGAAAATATCTCACAGTATTCGTGTCACTCTTGCACGCGCTGTCTAAGCATTCTAATAAGGGCTACAAACAATTTAACTGAACACGGTATTAAGACGTCATCTTGTCACCCGCAGCAACAATTTCCTAAATTAACTTCTTCGCATTTAATAAGCCATGTACTATTAACCTCAGGAACGTGCAAAACAACCTACACATTCAGCTCAGAACTCATGGCAACATAACGGAAAATTCAGAACAGAGAAACGTAAAGAACATCAATTTTAGAAGGGAGTTAATTATGAAAACTTGATATGAGCTTTCATATAACATGGATTACAAATTAAAATAATTGACTTTCACTGGTATACTAATATTGCTTCACGAACCTGCATAGTATGACACTTTTCACCCAGACATAGCAAGTCAAGCTGATCCACACAATTATAGCTCCACCTACTGATACCCGAAGTTTAATGTAAACTGCACATTCTTAAAATCTCAGTTCACTGTCAACTAGGGTGGCCGTTTCCAAAAATTTCTGAACGAGACGAAAAAATCTTGATGCTGAAGTGCTTAGGACTTGAATTTCTGAAAAAAAAAAAAAGATTAAATAATATAACTAGCCCACTAATATATATTTAGTGCTATTATCCCCTTATACTGTTTGGTCTGCAGTATATCTGATCCCTTTCAGTGTTTTTTTTTTTTTATGTTCACAAGATTACAGTTTTAAGAATTTAATTTTAATGCTTAGCCAATAAAAGCTATTTCGCGGTACCTTTTTAAAGTATTTTTGCATTTGGTTTGTGAATGAATATGCCTAATAATCTGATGGTGATCAATTGAAGATTCGTAGTTCAAAACCAAAAAATGTAACGAAAACAATGTAAGAAGAAGGAATGTAAAAGCAAAAAAAAGAACGCAATTGCAGTTCCAGTAGTAAAAGTTCATGGGCGTTCTGGGTTTGGTTCTGCAGGTGAGTTATTTCCAGACTGCGCTTAAATTTAGTCTCCTTAAAAAAAAAAAACAGCAAAAGTTTTTTTTTTCCTTTCCCAAATGCATCAGCAGTTATCCTGGTAACGAGCACTGCTTACTGATGCGCACAACCATTACAGCAGTGAGAAGTTGCGATCGCCAAGAAGCTTGTCGTAAGCTTAGACAGCACGGCTGTAATGATAAATTATGCACCGGCCATTAGTTTAATTAAGGCTGTGCTAAAGGGGGTGACGTCGCTGACGTCAGCCTGCAGAAGAACACCCTTTTTCCATAGAAATAACTGTGTTTGCCCTGTTGGACTTTTATTAAGTAAATATCAGAAAGCGTACACACATGCTTCAACATGCTGCAGTATCGCTTCCTAATGTGACGATGTCTACCATCTGTTTCACATATTTGAAGTGGGCTCCGTACAGACAGGCAGTGCTTGACGAATTATTCCATATCTCATATACAAAAGGGGATATATGTCGAGATATATTTAGTAGGATACTACAACTGCCCAGAACCTGTGGTATTACTTGCTTCAGGACTGCGCTACAACGTGCGCTTGCACCAAGTCAATAAGTAAACATACGAATGCACGTCCTTTAAAATAATAAAGTAAATCCTTATAGTAAAAAAAAAAAAAATCGAAAAGTTTATTGAAAATAATCAAGAATATATTTTCTAAAATACTCCTTTTATTAAGTTTCAAGTTACCGAACCACGGTAAAGAGATCCTTCATCATATGCAACGTTTGTGCAATAATGCAAAATTAGATCAACGATATAAAATTAGGCTGTAATATCAATGTACCACACTCCATCACCCTTCACACAATGGTGTAGGAAAGAGTTTAATACCGGGGGAGGGGGTGGACACTACTTAATTTAAATGTAAGGTTCTGTTTTTGGAGGGTCGAATGAAGCCAAATTAAATATTGAGGGTACACGTGCCCCCCGCCCCCGGTTCCTAAACGCCCCTTCTTCCACATCTGGCTGGCTATCTGGCCGTAGCTTTGCAGTGCCGCTTGCGCTAGTATAACCTGAAATACCACATAATTTTACTTCCCACAATTAAGTGGAAAAAGCTGCACCGAAAAGAACGAAAAATGCATTTCTTGTCTTAGCTGAATTCATATTTGTATTATAACAGTTGCAAATATGGAACTATACATGCGGTTTATCGTGTCATATATAATACACAAGGTTTGTATATGTGTGACTGTCTCTTGTGTGTAATGTATGTATATGTATAATATATATTCAGCTCCTGGGGGTATTTTTGCGAATGGCTGTTTCTTTGTAACGTGTGGAAAACTGAAATTATGATATTTGTCAATTTCAAGGAAATCTTTGCGTTTCTATCATCAAGATAATGTATAGTACAAAACGTGCTTTTAACGTCTCCCGTTTAGCTGGTCAATGATGGCATTTCTATAAGCAATTCTATAAACAGCTTCATGTTTACGCTGAAAATAGCTACAGTCAAGAAAAATGCTGGAAGACCATTGACACTGGTTCTGCCTTCATGTTAATGTGCGTTTACAATGAAAACTCACTCTGGAGTCTATAAAACTGTGGGAAACGATTCGGTTATTACAAGGACAGCATTAAAACCAGCCGCCTCGCTTTTTACAGTTAAATGTAAAAAAGCTCCTATAATTGCGAAGGTTTCGCGTCCACGAAACTGCGCGCGGTCGGTCGCCACGCATCCCGGATCACAGCTCGGTCTCCGGCCAGAGAAGCATCTTTAATTTTGAACAACCGAACGAGGCTGAAGGTTGTCATCAAAACAGGGGGGACGTAAATCATCCAAAAGTACCAGCTATCAAAAGACTTCGGGTGAAAAACCACAACAATCAAGCTGGAAACGGCAGCTCTAAGCTAGTATACTGGAAAAAAGAAGTGAGACATATCTACATGAAGCACCATGATCTGCAGTGCTACAGAAATACTACAAAAAAAGTAATTCAAACATTTACAAATGAAATAAAGCTGCAACATAACACAATTTGTACGACATACCTTAGTATAATTTAAACGTCAAAGTCCCCAGTCAGTCCGATGTTGATATAGTTTAATAGTTGAAGCAGGTCAACTATCTTGCTAGAAGAAAGACCACGAAGAGTTTCTTCTGCAACAGAAATCCATCGTCTCAAATCATTTTAATAGCTGGCGGTTTTTTTTTTTTTTTTGCCTATTTTTTTTCTGATCGTGTCCCAAAGAATCAAGTCCACTTAATGGAAAACTAAGAATTACGCAAAGCAGAGCTGGATGCTAAGTATCTACAGAGACGACTTCCTAACAAGCGCTTCATCAATATGACCTTCGGATGATAATTGCGGAGGATCGATGCCGAGCGCCGTTACACTGTAATCCCAGCGCATCTAAAGCGCCTTGCATTTCGCGCACTATGCAGGCTGGGAGGCAGGACAGAGCTCCTCCTAGACCAGCACCTCACCGCAGCGCTTTATCAATCTTAAAGACACACCGCATGTACCGGCTGTCACCCCGCTGTGTCGCACCGGTGCCGACTGTCACTGCTCCTTACTTGCCAGCCTGATGCCTGGAAACGGGCAATAAAAAGGTCTGACATGACAGAATAGCGCACCTCACATCTTAGTAGGCTTTACAATGCGACTACATCTGCGGAGGTAAAGAAACCAATTAAATGCCATTGACCATGTAGCGAAAAACCGAACGCCAAGCCAAGCCGTAATATATAAGAGGGGCACTGATATTTGTTATAGGAAAGACTTCTTGGGTATTCTCTGTCATATTGTGTCAGTAAGATATTATTTGGTAGGATCTAATTCTTCGAATCAAGACCTCGTTCAAAAAGTATACAAGCCGTAATCAGCCTAGGCTATATATCTATATATTCTTATCAAAAACATCTGAGATTACAAATTATGCATTGATAACGTGATGAATATACTGTAGGTGTTGAAAAATATTATTGAAATCTTATCAGACATTATGATAAACAAGAATTCGTCAAAGCCTTCATTTATTAGTGCCGCGTGTATAGGCAGGATAAAATTATGTATGTGTGTGTACAGTGTTTTTGTGTGTTTTTTTCTGAGAAAAGGATAAGAACTTGATATCTGTTTTCACATCTATCACTGCCAAGACCCAATGCAAGCAACATACTGTAAGCTTTTAAAAACTGATTGGAAATTATGTGATTGGAATCACGAACTATTAGTGATTTATTAATTATGTCTTTAAAAGGCTCAGTTTAAATCTCTTATTTTTGCCCTCAGTTTAAGTTTCAATTTATCTTCCTTTATAAATATTAAGCGAAAATAAATAGAACCAATCTATCTTTCATTATCAGTTTCATGAATGCAAAAATTATCCCCCTGTACCAGGTTTTGCAATATTGTGGTTAGCAGAACCTAATTTTCATTTCCCCTAACACTTTTCCTTACGTATTATTACGGTATTTATGATCTACATAGGAGATTTCAGATCTGTTTCAATTCCCCAGCACATCTGGCTTTAAAAACAAAGCCAGCACTCAGGACCACATCGTTGACCTTCGTTTGAGCACCAGGATGTTTTACTTTTGTGTTGTGTTTGTTTTTTACAGAAGCTGCGGTGCACGTTACCAGCAGGTCACACGGTGAAGTGCTGAGCGTATCAAAGTTGCTTGTATGTCAGTCTTCAAGTTCCTCAAAACATGTGTAATTTCACTCAGTATAATCTGCCATCTGTAATATCTGTAACAAATTTCCTACAATCAGCAACAGTCACCATCTTTAAAGCAGCGCATTGCGTTCAAATTTTGGAAATGATTCCAACTCGGTTATAACCAGAACCATTTGACTGTGAGGGACATTCCAGTACTCCTTACTAAATGATACTCTGTTACAGGTAAACAAATACTACCTCATAGGTTTAAAAGATCCCTAAAGTACTCTTTTGTTTGTGGACCATATGCTTATTGCTCTACAATATTCCCAACTGATCTCATCCAAGACCTTCATTATTTATTTTATTAGCAGATGCTTGTACCCAAAGTAACTTGCTACCAGGCGTCACTTTCCAATAAGGGTTGTGGTGCCACATCTGGAGCCCATTTGGGAAGCATTGAGCTTAGGACGGTACTCGCAGCATGGCCAGCTACCGACTGAACCTGTTTACACAGCTGGACATTTCTGAAGTAGTGTTGCGGTATCTAGGTATGACTCGGAATGCATCAGGAATGAGACCCACTCTCACTCCTTTCTTATTCCATTGCTATTCGACCTCTCATGGTTTTTTTTCCCTCACAATTTTTGCCTATTCCCATTATTCCTCAGTTGTAGAATCCATCACCTCCACCACATTCTGAAGAATTAGTTGCCTTTGATCCAAAATTTCTGCATATTTCACTGACTCCTGCGTTATCCCACCTCGTCGTCTTGCTTATGCAAACGTAGTGGGTGAGAAACTGCATATTGATGACAAATTAGTACTCTTCAGTGCAAAGTGAGCTCAGTGCCGGTCTGACACGAGACCTTGTGCAGCGGAGATGTGTTCGAATGCTGAGAGGCGAGGTGCATACTTCAGCATGGATGCCTGTTTAATTTATGTTTACCGTCGTGTTAAATGTTAAGAGCGACAATGTAGCAATGTTCTCAAAGAGTGATATACTCATCATTACATACCAGGCTTTGTTCACTTTAAAATGCTTCTATTGTTATAAATTGTATGGTTGAATCAATTTATGTGGATTGGCATCATTGCTAAAAATCAGATTTCAGGGTGTAAAAGTAGGTAAATGGTAGATGTTTGAAATCACTTTAAAGGGCAGTCATCGATGAAGACTGGGTTGACAATAATGCTCATGACAGCGCCCTCTCGGGTCTCTGGCAGATCTCTGATGCATAATCATGTGGTGTGTTTTTTAAAGGGGACAAGAATGCCTTATGTAAAGCTTAAGTACACACAGATTGCAACAACTTAACCTGGGTTCTCCATGTTCTTTCAGGCAGCTCCAGGAAAGCGTTCTGCTGTCGCCCATTGGACTATGAAATTGATGTGGATCAGCGGTGTGTTGGGAGGCACTGACAATGAGAAAAGCTTTGGCCGCCACTACTAGCTGACCAGTCTTGCTGCAGAAGCGGGGACATTGCCTGTGACACCTGGAGCTCCGTGGCGTCTGCTTTGCATAGCAGTGCTGAAGTTTAAACAGCGGCCACAACTATGATGTAAATAGATAATGCCAGAAGTATCGGGTGTCTGGCAGCTTTCGCCAGTGACTCGAGGTCACCTGAAGCGGCACCCAAGTGCAAGCAGACGGTGAGAAAAAAGCAAGAAATGGATTGTGCAAGGAAATCTGTGGCCACCATCCAGGACGTCCCCTAACAACAGGGATCAGCTGCCAGACTGTAAACGATTCAGAATGATGTCTGGACAAACCTCTGGTCCAAAGAGCTTGACTTGTAAGTCGCTGGTGCTACTGTTTTTGATTCTGATCCTAAACACATGCTGGACTGGACACAAGGTTTTCAGCACCACCACCCCTACCATCATCATCATCATCATCAAATGCTTTCATCCAATTTCATTTTTCAGTTCTGTGCTTGTAGGCAGTCCCCAGGTGACTTATGGGCACCTCATACTCACAAATAAACTGCCTTAAAGTCTATTATATTAAAAATTTCTGCTTAGACCAATGGTTCATGAAAACTTGACACGGCTTCAGCAGTTCATTGCTCAAGGTAGAGTGCAGTTCCATATGACTCACCTACAAATTCGACTAAAACACAGACATAGGGAGCGGATCTCGTTTGTATCCTGGGGACGGCTTGTATTCAACTGGATATCTTACTGAAGCAAGTTCCGGTTAAATTTCTTCAAGGTGCCAACGACAACCGGGATGAGAAACTCCATAATTCTGATGGAAACTCCATTTTCCTGGGGTTCCCAGCTTGTGGCAGACCACATTGTACTTGGCATGGCTTGAATAAGAATGCACGTCCCCCTAGTGGTGGCTAAGCTGTCAGTTTTGGTTGTTATGCTACTTTTGATTGACAGCAGAGATGTTTATGACATCCTAAAGGATTTACCAACAGTCATTCTGGTCTCCATGCACCTGAGAGCAAAAAAATGTGAAAGATGCCTTTTCACTCCTCTGGCAGTACATTCTGGAATGCTCTCTATGCCTTAATATGCACCCTGGGAAGACTCACTTCATTTTTAAGCATGTATTCATATTTTTGGGATCACTGTATTCCACTGAAATAAATGCATTCTTCTGTGCAGATAAATATAGTACTTATTCTATAGAAGAAAATATGAAATATTGAGTTACTCTGGCCGTACACTTAGTCCCAGCTGACAGTGGAGCTGTCTTGCATATATTTTTGCACGCTACATTCCAGAAAACAGCTTCATCTCTATATCTTTAGAGTTCAACAAATGAAAGAACAGGATAATTAATGAACTGGTGTCATTCCACATTAACTGTTTCAATATGGAATATAGATTCCAAGATGACAGTGAACTTGATCTGTTTGGAAGGTCAGCATTGTCACGCCGTCGCAGAAACAGATGGACATTTTTTTGATAGACTAGCTTGATGCAGGTTTGATGTTGTTCATTAATGTCATAGACTTACTGTCTCTGTGGTCCAGAGATCTGTTTGGATATTGTACTTAAAAACTCTTCGAAACGTAGTGATTATTCATTCTTTTGATGTGCTATGCTTTTTGAAACATTTTAATGAATTTATTCACACATTTGTTTGGAATGGGAATATGAAGTCAATCAACCAAGCCACATTCATCAAGAATGAATGATATATTTGAAAATAGCCTAACCTATCGTGCATTATGACCATGGGCAGTTGGCTGCTGTGGGGTCGTTTATTTCCACACTAAAGGGCATTTAGATAAGACCGACGGGTGTGTTTTATTATCAGGACAGTGACAACTCCCTCAGCCAGCGACAGAGAGAGCAATAAGGCCAGTTCAAATCCATTCAAGTGAATCGAGTCTGCAAAGCCAGCAATCATTTTATTTATTCAGAGTAGCTGTTTACTATTCATAGACTGAAACTTCTAATTTTCCATCAGTATATGTACCGCAGATTAAAAAAAGCGACAATCATCAGAGGACTAGGCACTAGAGATAAGGTTAACCAGACACTATTCTGCTAATTAGTACCCCTCCATAGACAATCAGTCTCTGATTCATTTATCATGTGATTTTTTTGAATGGGTACAAAATATTTTGTTTTATTCCCGTTGCCGACTGGCATCGAAAATGGCAGCGAAAGGGCATTATATAAAAGAGTGGCTCTCTTGCATATGAATGCATATGAAGGCAAAAGATGAATGAAAGGGAAAGGGGTTAAAACGGCAGCGAGACATAAATCAGGCAGGTAGGAAGACACACCCCTCAGGACCCCGGGGGGGCGGGCT